AACTTGCTCTTGTAGACCAGGCTGGTCTCGAACTCACAGAGATCCATCTACCTCTGCCCCCCAAGTGCTGGGATTAAAGGCATGCGCCATCAATGCCCTGCTATAAATGTGTTCTGCCTGCATGCCAGAAGAAGGCACCAGGTCTCATTGTAGATGGCTGCTAAACACCATGTGGTTGCTGGGAATTGAACTCAGGACCTCTGGAAGAGCAGTTAGTGCTCTTAACCTCTGAGCCATCTCTCCAGCCCGCTGTGAATATGTTAAGGACAGTCCAGCCAGAAGTTCTTTGTGCTCGGGAGAGGTATGTCTCCCCTCTGCTGCCACTTCCTGTTTGTTTCCTCCGTGGGGTAAGGGTAGCTGGCTCTAAGGACATGTTTTTCTGTCTCGGGTTCCTACCTGCTTGCCCTTTGAGCTAAGCCAGAGGACTTACAGAGTCAGTGACTCAAGTAAGAGTCATGACTGCACAGTCTGCCATGGTCATTAGCATGAAGTGCTTTTTGAGGCAGAGTCCATGTTCTGAACATGTGGCTCTTAATAGCCATGTTAAGGGAAGGTACTTTGGTTGTAAGAAAGTACTCTTCCGCCTTCTGGAATCCAGTCCCCACTCTGCCATTCTGTCTGATGACCGTAACTACCCATGTTCTTTGTTCTGGGAGGCAGGATCCTTGTACAGTCCACTCTGCCATCTCTTCCTTTCCTCCTGTTAAGGGCAGTATAATACATTTAGAACACTGATGGTGACAGTCCAGGGTGCCAATGTCAGTTTTGCTTCATATAAACTGTGACCTGTCCAATGTAAGCATCAGTTACCATAAGTGAATATAGGAGTTGTACCAATATAATGAGATAGTTGTAAACATCCAGATAGGCAGCATGTTTGGCCTGTCCCCCACCTCATTCTGTTCTGTTTGTTTGGCCTTAGTCCTATGATTTCTAAGTGGGTGCTAGTCCTGTCCTAGCTAATGAGCATGGATATACACATGGAACCCACATTATATTTAGTGCCAGGCATCATGGGATCTGTTTCTGATTCTGCCATTACCCACATAATTCCACTCAAGAAAACCTCTGGGGATGGGCAGATAGCACACGCCTTTAATACCAGCACTCAGAAGGCAGAGGCAGGCGGATCTTTAAGTTCCAGGACAGCTAGGCCACACAGTACAACCCTGTCCTGAAAAAAAAAGTAATAAAGAAAACCTGTGCACTTTGATTTCTTCATTAATGAAACAAAATATGTTATCTAAGTAAATGTCCCAGCCATGCAGGGTGTCTTATAATATCAGCACATGGGAAGCTGAGGCAGGGGGATTACAGTGCACTCAAGGCCAACCCGAGCTACTTAGTAAGTTCTAGGGCTGCAGTAAGTGTTAAGACTCGGGGAGGTGGTCTGCGAATGTAAATCATCTGGCAGCACCCTTGCTAGATCTGATCCCAAGCACCTCAGCACTCAGAAGGATGGGGTGGGTGGATCTCTGTGGGTTCACAGTGAGACCCTGTCTCAACAAACACAAAAACAAACAACTCTTTGCTATGCTGAATTACCATCACCCCCTGTTCTTGTCTTCCGTAGATCTGTGGGGTCCTGGAACAGTCCACCTCCCCACCCCTGAAGCTGACCCCTATTCCAAGCATCTCTCCTGACCTCCAAGCCTATCTTCAAGGCAACACCCAGGTCTCTCGGAAGAAGCTTCTGCCTGTGCTCCAGGAAGCCCTGTCAGCATATTTTGACTCAACAAAGATGCCTTCAGGGCAGCTTGGGGTAGTGGGTATGTCCAGGGAGCAGGGAGACAAGGAATTGGACAGGGCAGGTAGCTCCATTTTCGGACTGAGTCAAGACGAAGAGGACCCTCCGCTGCCCCCCACACCCATGAACAGCTTGGTGGACGAGTGCCCTCTGGATCAGGGGCTACCTAAGCTTTCTGCAGAGGCTGTCTTTGAGAAGTGCAGTCAGATCTCACTGTCCCAGTCTACCAGAGCCTGCCCATCAAATAAGTGACCGTGGGGCGGGGAAGTGTGGAGGGGGTGAGTGCCCACCTCAAATGCATGTTTTGAGATGTTTGACCATTTCAGCAACTGTGTCTATTGCTCCAGGATCTGGTGTATTGTTCTCATAAAACTGGGAGGGAAAGGAAGCAGCTGCTGTAAGAATGGCTTTCTGCCTCTCCGATCCGGTCTCTACCAGTCAGACAAGTTTTATTTAATGTTATTGTTTAATCTGCACTGATTTCCCTTGTTCTGTTTGTGATGGGTATGGTGTGATAATCACTGTCCTAGCAGAGCAGGACTAAAGGAATGTAGACCAGATCTGTGTCTTCAGAAGGACTGTGAGCAGAGTCAGTGTCTGTTATAAAACCAGTTAACTACTTGTCTACATGAATTCTTTTGTCTTGAACACATGGCTGGACTTCTTATTTCTTTGGCTCCTTCTGTCCTAGAGTCACAGGAAGACTGACGAGACCCTGAGGATCTGAGGTTCTTGGGTTCAAGTAGCACCCAGAACGGCTGTAGTACCCCTCATAGGCATTTTTTGCCAGAGGGCAGATCTTGATTGGGCCATGGACATCCCCAGCCTCAGTGGGTCTGGCAGGTTGTCTTTTCTGGTTTTGTTCATGTTAAAGAAAGCATAGTGTCTTCTAGTGAGGCATTTCACTGTTCTAGGTCTCATTTTTCCCATCTGTAAATGAGGGTTAGGAGTAGATGTTCCCTGGTATTCTGTGACCTGCCTCTTCCAGTCATCCTTTCCCTCCTCTGCTTCTTTGTATTTTTCCTTTTGTCTTCCCTGGGAGTGCTCAGGGTCACTGGATTGTGTGTGTTTATGTGTGATTGTACCAAGGGATTTAGCCTCATGTAGCATGTACAGGGATATACGGTGACCCAGCAGGGAGCTTTTTCCCAGTGACTTGTCTGCATGTGTAGTCTCCCCCTACCCCCCTCTTATCCCATATAAGTTGGAAACTATCAACAGACTATAGGGTGTGTGGTGGTTTGGGGCAGTCTGACTTCACTTTAGGGTAGCTGTTGGGAACATGAAATATTGGTGCGATCACTGAACCAAAGGGATTATGTCCTGTGACTTCGGTACTTGGTTTTGCATTTTTGTTTTGTATTAAACTTTATTCCTGTTTGAGGTCTTGTCTCTTTTTGACAGTATAGTCGGGCCTTCCCTCTGATAATGGCTGCACCTCCTACAGACACCTCTCCCTTTCTCCCGTTCCTGCTTAGTTGACTCAGCTATAAGCTGTCTCTGTTCATCCTTCATCTCTCCTTGATTCCTGTTCCCAGAGCTTTCCTTAAAATATTCAGTTGTGGTCTCAGGTTGGTTTTTTGTTGCTTTTTTCAGACAGGGTTTCTCTGTGTATCCCTGGCTGTCCTTGAACTAGCTTTGTAGACCAGGCTGGCATCAAACTCAGGGATCTACCTGCCTTGGGCCTTCCCAGTGCTGAGATTAAAAGCATGCACCACCACTGTCTTCTTTTTTTTGAGACAGTCTCCCAGACTGCCCTTGCTTGTCAAGTAGCTGAAGCTAGCCTCTAATGTTCCTGCAGAAGCCTCTCCCATGTTGGAATTGCAGATGTGAGATGCCTTACTTGTCTCCTCTGTTTCCCTTATGCTGGAAAAGTAGGACCAACATGAATTTAAAACCAAAATAGTTCCCAGCTTTGCCTGTATGTGTGTATGGTTCTGGTGATTGAACTAGGGCCTCATGCTACTGGGCAGGTGTTCTACCACTGATCTTTTTTGTTTGTTTGTTTGTTTGTTTTTGTTTTTTTTTTGTTTTTTTTTTGGTTTTTCGAGACAGGGGTTTCTCTGTGGCTTTGGAGGCTGTCCTGGAACTAGCTCTTGTAGACCAAGCTGGTCTCAAATTCACAAAGATCCGCCTGCCTCTGCCTCCCAGCGCCTGGCCACCACTGACCATTTTTAACTTTTTATTTTGAGACAGAGTCTCAGTAAGTTACCCAGACTGGCTTTGAACTTGTAGTCCTGCTTCAGCCTCTTGAGTAGCTGAAATTCCATGCCCTCACCAGGATCAGCTTTTTAAAGCTAGTTATTGGATTGCAAGATGATGTGGACAAAGGCACCTAGTACCAAGATGACCAACTGAAGTTGATCACATGGTGGGATGAGAGTACTGATTCTCACAAGATATCATACACACACACTCAAAAATAAACTATAATTTAAAAAAGTACATTTTGGCTGGGCAGTAGTGGCGCATGCCTTGAATCTCAGCACTTGGGTGGCAGAGGCAGGTAGATCTCTGTGAGTACAAGGCCAGCCTGGTCTACAGCATGAGTTCCAGGACAGCCAGAACTACACACAGAGGAAACCCTGTTTTTTTTGGGGGGGGAGGGATACATTTTAAAGGCTGGAGAGATGGCTTGGTGATTAAGAGCACTGGCTGCTCTTCTAGAGGACCCAGGTGTATTTCCAGAACCTACAGGGCTCACAACTATCTGTAACTCTAGTCCCAAGAAATCTAACCCTTTTCTATCTTCCAAGAGCACCAGGTACACACTTGGTGCATAGACATATATGCAGGCAATACCCTCATACACATAGAATTTAAAAACAAAACATTTTTTAAGCTTCCAAAAGCTTCCAAACTGCTGAGAGATGGCTCAGCAGTTACAAGTGCTTTCTTGTCAAACTGGGCAGTGGTAGCACACTCCTTTAATCCCAGCACTCAGAAGACAGAGGCAGGTGGATCTCTGTGAGTTTGAGGCCAGTCTGGTTTACAGAGTGAGTTCCAGGACAGCCAGGGCTACACAGAGAAACCCTGTTGAAAGTGCTTCTCAATCCTGAAGCCTAGAGTTCAGATCGCAGCACCATGGGCAAGTCTACAAAGGCCTGTACCCCCAGCTTCAAGAGAGACACAAGAAAATTGCTGTTGGATTCCAGCCTAACCAACAATGCAAAAGCTGGGATCCAGGTTTAGAGAGAGACATTGTCTCAAAGAAACAGGCAGTGATAGAGGAGGCTGCCCTCCCCTGCACATTCCAGGGTGCACACACCCACTCATAGACTCACAAACACACTAAGAGGGAAAGATCACCCACACATTCCACATCAAACTGGTCTAAAATGTAAGACACTGAAAAATAAAGGGGGCTGCCTTAATGGACAGGCACTTACTTGAGCAAGAAGACCCAAGTTTGGATCCCCAGAACACACAAAGGCTGAGCAGGTGGGGCATCCACCTATAACCCTAGCTCTCAGGGAGTTAAGCTGGCTAGCTAAAACTAGATCAGTGAGCTCTGGGTTCAATGGAGATACCCTGCCTCAGATTTTCTGAGGAAGATATCCAGTGTTAGCTTCAGGCTTCCCTAGGAATGCGAGCGCGCGCGCGCACACACACACACATAAAATTATCTTGTAACCTTCCCCCCTTAAAAGGGCAAAACAAAGGGCTTCCAGGTTATAAAGAATCTGAACTGGAGAACAAATCGTCACCCTAGAAGTCTCACTCTCACACCCGAAAGCCCGCCCCCACACAAGAGGCTGGGCTTTTGGGCAAACCTGCTCCTTGGGAGGGGAGGTAGCAAAACCTGTTTGAAGATGAGGTTACCTCCCTTCCACACCTCCTGCTCCTTAGAGGCAAGAACAACAGCTGAGAAAGAAAAGGAGTGGTGGGGGCCAGGACCACAGCCTCCTACCCTTCGTAAAGTGTTCACAGAACACAGGACGACTGGTGAGGATGGGAACTATACAAGAAACAGGAAAAAAGTCATTAGAAGTAGGGTAAGTAATGGCTTGGCCTGATGAGGAGGAGAGAGGGCGTTTCCTACCACCCAAGCCTTCCCTGGGTTCCTCGAGGAAGAGCATGGCAAGAAGGAATTCAGGGACAGGGTGGTTTGGGGCAGGAAAGTAATATAGTATGGAGCAATTCCATGGTTTAAAGTTCCTATCTTATATCTGACAGACCACCACTCTCTCTCTCTCTCTCTCTCTCTCTCTCTCTCATCTAAGCACCACCCTCTAGAATGGCCATTAGGAAACCTGGCTCAGAAGGGAGTTTCTACCCCTGTTCTGCTTCCCAGTGAATCTCCTTTCTCCCCTGTCCTTGCCTGCTGTGCCATATTTTCCCAGTGCAGTAGAAAGGCAGGGCAGACTGGGTGCCATCTGCTGCTGCTTTGCAAAAGGTTAACTGGGCAGGTCTGGGTTCCAGCCAGCTGTGATGTGGGATGCCTTCTACACTACCATAGAGGCAAAGCGGTTACGGGATGGCCCTTCCCCTTTGCTAAGCTCAGCAGCAGGTGAGCTGTTTCAGTCAAGTGGAAAAGGTAGAGAAGGTAGAAAATCTGTAGACATAGACGAATGCCCTCTGCGACAAGTTCTTCACGACAGTGTCTGCCACCTGCTGTCTGGCTCCCTTAGGATACTGTCCAGGTTGTCTCATGATCATTTCTCCTGGGGGGGGGCTGATGTCAGGGCTGGGGAGAAGGCAGGAGTCACAGAGCCAGGAGCAGCCCTGAGACTTGAAGAGCTGGAACTGAGGGAGGAATGGCAAGATGAAGAGTTCCCCAGGTAAGGCTGAGAGCCCTTTGCCCTCCCTGTGGTACACGTGGTACACAGATAAATATACAGGCAAAACACGTCCACACACACACACAATCTTTACATGAGGGGGAAGAGAGAAAACAATTCTGGTGGACACCTGGCCTGGCTGGGTGTTGTGTGTAAGTCCCAGTTCAATCCCTACCCTCTAGATTGCTTCCTGAGGAGGCTGGCCCGGCTGGAGATCCCGAAGACCCTCAGACAGACTCCCAGGCAGGTAGGAAAGGAAAGTCTGCCTCTGGGGCTGGTTTTAAGGCCAGAGTCTTCACTGTAGCTTCTGTCCTTTGCAGTCCATTCTCCCTTTCCACTTACCCTGTCACTTCCCTGCCTCAAAATTCTCAGGTATGATCTCCTTAAAACTTTATTTTAGGTGTTTTGTTACTGTTGTTGCTTGGGGTTTTTTGTTTGTTTGCTTGCTTGCTTGCTTGCTTGCAACAGTGTCTTCCTATGTAGCCCTGGCTAGCCTAGAACTTATTTGGAGACTAGACTGACTGAACTCACAGAGATCCACCTGTCTCTGCCTCCTGAGCACTGGGATTAAAGGTGTGCACTACCACGCCTGAGTTCGTTCTTTCTTCTTTCTTTCTTTCTTTCTTTCTTTCTTTCTTTCTTTCTTTCTTTCTTCCTTTCTACTTTATTTTATGTGCATGGTATGAAGGTGTCAGATCCCCTGGAACCAGAGCTGTTGCCATGTGGGTGCTGGGAATTGAACTCAGGACCTCTGGAAGAACAGTCGGTGCTGTTAACCTCTGAGCCATCTCTCCAGCCCTGAGTTATTTCTTAAGATTTATTTATTTATGTATTATACAGTGTTCTGTCTGCATGTACACCTGCCAGCCAGAAGAGGGTACCAGATCTCATTACAGATGGTTGTGAGCCACCACGTGGGAATTGAACTTAGGACTTCTGGAAGAGCAGCCAGTGCTCTTAACCTCTGAGCCATCTCTCCAGCCCATGCCTGAGGTATTTCTGACAGTCTCAACTCTGTAGCCCATACTGGTTTGGAACTCCTATGTAGCCTGAATTGGCTCAAACGAAGTTATTAGGGCTGGAGAGATGGCCCCACAGTTTAGAGTACTGGATGCTCTTCTGTTTGATTCCTAGAAACCACATGGTGTCTCACAACCATGCTTAACTCAAGCCCCAGAGGATTTGACATTCCCTTGTAGGCTCTGAGAGCACCAGGTACACATGTAGTATACAGACAAACATGCATGAGAAATAGCCATACACATAGAAAAAAACAAGCAAACAGACAAAACTTGCATTTGTCCTCCTTTCTCTGCCTCTCAAATGCTGTAATTGCAGATGCAAGCCACCAAGCCTGGTTTCATGACTTCTGTATATAGAAGTCCTTGTGTGTTCATTTTTTGTTTTGCTATAGAGACTCATGTAGCCCAGGCTGCCTTGTGATCCTCACATCTCTTCCTTTGTAGTGTTGGGGTTGCAGGCATTTGGTTCCACCCCATGCAGGGATGTTGAGTCACCATCAACTCACATGGGTTTTCCATTTGGGTATTTCTCCCCCTTCTATCTCCCAACCACAGGTACCCCCAGCACTCTGGCCCTGTGTGGCCAGCGTCCTATGCGAAAGCGTCTTTCTGCCCCAGAATTGCAGCTGAATCTGACTGAGGGAACAGGAGAAACTGGAGCTTCTCCCACCCACTCCGAGTCTTCCTCTTCAGATGGCAGCTTGGACCTGGAGGTGGATGAGTTGGAGACACCTTCAGACTCCGAGCAGCTTGACAGTGGACATGAATTTGAATGGGAAGGTGGGAACAAACCCAAGGATGGGGCTGATAAAATAGAAGCTGATAGAACATACAGGGTGGGTGGGTGGATGGATGGATGGATGGATGGATGGATTGGATGGATGGGATGGATGGGATGGGATGGGATGGTAGGATGATAATAGGAGGAGGCAGAAGTGTTGGCTCAGGTTAGGGGCACTGGCTACTCTTCCAAAAGAGCTGGGTTTGATTCCCGGCACCCTCATGACAGCTGTCTGTAACTACAGTCCCAGGAAATCTGATGCCCTCTTCTGACCGTTAAGGGCACCAGGCACACACATGTGGTGCACATGCATACAAGCAGGCAAAACACCCATACACATAAGTAAATCTAAAAAATTAAGAATTAAAAACCAGATGATATAGTGGCTGAGAGGACAGACCAGAAACATGGATTCCCTCAGAAAGGAAAGGGACAGCCTCTATAGCAGGGAGGCCATCAGCCACGAACTGGGAGGGATGGTTTATTAAGAAAAAGACCAAAGCTTGACAGGGTAGTTCAAGCCTTTAATCCCATCATTTGAGAGGCAGAGGCAAGTGGATCTCTGTGAGTTTGAGGCCAGCCTGGAATACATATGAGACTTGTCTCAAAAATAAACAAAAAAGCAAACAGACAAAAGAGAAAAATATTGAGATTGGAAAAAAAAAAAAAAAAGAACTGGGCAGTGGTGATGCATGCCTTTAATCCCAGTATTCAGGAGGCAGAGATAGGTAGATCTTTCTGTATATTCGAGGCCAGCCTGGTCTACAAAGCGAGTTTCAGGATGACAGCCAGAGCTGTTACACAGAGAAATCCTGTGTAAATGCCTCTCCAAGTGCTTGGACTACAACCACTAGATGCCACCTGACAAGCCTGAGGTTATAAGGACAAAAAGCTGGGGCGAGCGAACGTGTGTGGGGTGTGTGTGTGTGTGTGTGTGTGTGTGTGTGTGTGTGTGTGTGTGTGTGTGCCTGTGATTCAGCTCTCAGGCTAAGGACCCTGGGAAGATTGCCAGGAGTTTGAGGACAGTCTAGGTTACAAAGGGAAGCTGTCTCCCAAATGAACTAAATAAACAAATAGAAACATAAGGTGCCCTGCTCTTAGGAAACAGCTGCCTATAAATGATTGCCGCTGACGGTCAGGCCCTCTGTGGATGTTAGGGATTTGGAGGAGATGCTGAGTCAAATTCTGAATTTAAGGGAGATGTTCATCATGTTTGGAGATGGGGTAGCCAGTCAGGCCTGGCACACAAGGAATTGAAGCACAATGCTGACTAGACATGAAGGGCTGGATGCAGAGCATGAAAAGCTAGTGCTGGGTTACCCTGGCCAAGTTTGTATCATGGTAGCCAACATGCTAAGGGGCGGAGACTTTTGTTGACTAGACAATGAGGAATAACATGAAGGTTTTTTGGTTTTGTTTTGTTTTTTTCTGGTTTTTCAAGATAGGGTTTTTTTTTTGTTTTGTTTTGTTTTTTTGTGCAGCCTTGGCTGGCCTCTAGAGACCTTCCTGCTTCTGCCTCCTGAGTGGTGGGATTAAAGGTGTGTGCCACCTCCGCCTGGCAACATGAAGTTTTTAATCATGGGATGTCAGGTCACATTTAATGGCTATAGACTGAAAACTTGGGCTGATACCTCCTGTGGCAAAGTCCTTGCACACAGTATGAGGACCTGAGTTAGATCCCCGCACCCGTGTTTTAAAATGCCAGAGCTGTGCATGACTCTGTCTTAAAAAGAGAAGGAAAAAAGTAAGAGTGTGTGAGTTGGATGCTATGAAGCACATTTGTAAGCTCAGCTACTGAGGAGGCTGGGGTGGGAGGACTGAAAGTTCAGTACCTACATGGAATGCATATGGAGACTTTATCTTAAAAAAAACAGAAGTATGAGAATGTAGTTTATTTCAGAGTGCTGCTTGCCTATCATGCAAGGATCCCTGGGTTTGGTCCCTAGTAGAAACAGCACATGGTTGTGCACACCTATAATCAAGCCGGTTGGGAAGTACAGATAGAAGTTCAAGGTCATCGTTGGTTACATAGTGAGTTGAAGACCAATTCAGGCAGCTTGAGATTGGGGGGAGTGGGGGATGAGCACCCTGAGGGAAAAGGGAAAGGGAGAGTTAAGGAGTAGTGGGAGAAAGAGACACAAATTTTTGAGTTAATTGGATAAACTGAGAGCCAATGAAAATATTGAAACATTAGAGATTAAATAGTAAATCCAACCAGATAGTGGACACTTGTAATCCTAGCACTCAGACTGGGCAGTAGTGGCTCGTGCCTTTAATCCTAGTACTCAGGAGGCAGGGGTAAGGAGGATCTCTGTGAGTTTGAGGCCAACCTGGTCTACAGAACAAGTTCCAGGACAGCTAGGGTTACAGAAAGAAAGCTTGTCTCAAAAAAAAAAAAAAAAAAACTAGCACTCAGGAAGCTAAGGAAGAAGGATCATGAGTTGGGGACTAGCTGGAGCCACACAGTGAAGCCTTCTCTCAGAAACTCAAACAAACAAACAAATGAGGAGTAAACTCCAGCAATCCAGGAGAATTACAAGGACTCTGCTGTGGATTCTTCACGCCTGTGTTTTAGATGATTTGCCTCGGGCAGAGGGCCTGGGAGCCAGTGAGGCAGCTGAGCGGCTGGGCCGGGGTTGTGTGTGGGATGTGGCTGGAGAGGACGGTCATCGCTGGAGAGTGTTCCGAACTGGGCAGCGAGAGCAGCGAGTGGACATGACCACCATCGAGCCCTATAAGAGAGTGCTGTCTCATGGAGGTAATGGCAAAGGCAATACAAGGGGGAAACTACGGCATATGGCCCACAGTGTAAAGGTGCTTGCCATGTGTGCCTGGCAACCTGAGTTTGATCCCCAGAACCCACAGAGAGGTTCAAGGAGAGAGCTAACTCTGCTAAAGTTGTCCTCCAACCCCCACCCACATGGGCCCATGCATGCACATACACAATAATAATAAATGAAACAGCAGCTATGGCAACAGTCATGCTAGAGAAATGGTTCGGCTGGTAAGAGCTCTTGTTGCTCATGCACCTGGGCTTGGTTCCTAGAGATCTCGTGACTACTCACAACTATCAGTAACTCTAGTTCCAGGTGCTCTCACAAGCTCTTCTCTTCTCCACAGTGCATATACATACACGCAGGCCACATACTCATAAGAAACCACACACACACACACACACACACACACACACACACACACACCACACACCCTCTGACAGCTTGACTGACATGCCTTAGCTGGAAACTCAGTTGTTGGGTTTAACATCCCTCCTGTGACTTCCAAAGACCCTCCGTATCCCTCATCCTAAATAGAAGTACTGTCTATTTACAGATTTGTAACTAAGTGAATTTTCCTCATATTGGTTCCCAGGTTACCATGGTGATGGCCTCAATGCTGTCATCCTCTTTGCTTCCTGCTATCTACCCCGAAGCAGCATTCCCAACTACACCTATGTCATGGAACACTTGTTCAGGTGAGGTGGAAACCCCAACAGGCTTGTAAAGGGGGTTAAGGGAGAGGAGTGGGAAAGACCACTGCCTGGAACCAGTAGCTGACTGGAGGATCTCTATATTCATGTGTCTGTGCTCCCAAAACACACAGCACATACCTTCCCTGCAATGCTGTTCCCCAGGTATATGGTGGGGACTTTGGAGCTGCTGGTAGCTGAAAATTACCTGCTTGTTCACCTGAGTGGAGGCACAAGCAGGGCCCAGGTGCCACCTCTGAGCTGGATACGCCAGTGTTACCGGACCTTGGATAGGAGGTGAGACCCGGGACAAGAGGGATGTGGCTCTCTGCTATATCTTTCCCATTTTTCCTATCATTTTCTTCTTTCATTTGATCCCTTTCTTGTTTCCCTTTTTCTTTTCTGAGAATGACTTGCTGTCTGGCTCATGTTGTCCTCAAATTCAAGGTTCTCTTGCCCTAGCCTCTCAGAGTTCTGGGGTCACTTGCCTGAGTCGCCATACCCAGCTCCCTTCTTCTTTGTTTGCCCTTCTGCATCCCCTCAGAAGCATCTCCCGTTGTGTCCTGTACAGTCAGGGACATCTAGCCCTTAGGACTTAGTAGCTACACTTTGGACATGTCACTTAGCTTTCCTGGTCAGATTCCTTGTGAATTCCCATGGATGTTACCTGGCACTTTCCCTTTTCCCCAGTCTTGGCCCTTCCTTTCCGTATCTCCACTGCTTTCGCTGCCTCTTCCTTCATTCCGGGTGTGTAACTCATTCCCCACTCCCGAGACAGAGACAGGTGGATCTCAGTGAGTTTGAGGCAACAAACAACAACAAAAAATCATCCCCCCTCATCGTGTTCCTTTTTTCTCCTTTGTTTCCTCATCACTTGTTTTTTCAAGGCAGGGTTTCTCTGTTTAACAGTCCTGGCTGTCCTGGAACTCACTCTATAGGCCAGGCTGGCTTCAAACTCACAACCACCTGCCTCTGCCTCCTTTGGGATTGAAGGTGTGCATCACCACCACCTGGCCATTTACCTATTTATTTTTATTGGGGATAAGTTCTCATATAATCCAGGCTGGTCTTGAACTCCTGGTCTTCCTGCCTCTCAGCCTCCCCAGTGCTATGATTACTTGTGTTATCACCATGCCTGGCTTGAGCCTTCTCACCCTTGCTTAATTTTCTTTCTTCTTGCATCTTTTCCATTTTTCCTCCTTGCTGATCTTTTTCATACTTAAGTGCTTTGTTGTTTCTTGTTTGGGAGAGGATTTTGATTTATTTATTTATTTATTTATTTAATTTATTATGTATACAGTGTTCTGTCTGTATGCATGAATGCCAGCAGAGGGCATCAGATCTCATTACAGATGGCTGTGAGCCACCATGTGGTTGCTGGGAATTGAACTCAGGACTTCTGGAAGAGCAGCCAGTGCCCTTAACCTCTGAGCCATCTCTCCAGCCCGAGAGGGTTTATTTTATATAGGGGCTTGTGTAGTCTATGTTGGCTTCAAACTCTCAATGTAGCCACAGTTGGCCTTGGATTCCTGATCCACTTGCCTCTGCTGGGGTTACAGCAGTGCTGAGCTCACAGGCATCACTACACCTGACTTCCACTTGGAGTTTTATGTCACCTGGGCTGCACAGTGGAAAAGGTGGAGAAGTTTGCAGAAGGAATTTATGTGGACTGGAGGGAAATGAGTTGCAGAGACAGAGGTACTGTTAAAGGAACATTCCCTAAACATGGAGTATAGAGGGCTAAATAAATTGGGACAAGCTCAAGGCATGGGGAGTACGCACAGCTGCCAGAGAAATTTGGAAAAATTAGACCAGGCTGGTCTCAAACTCACAGAGATCTACATGCCTCTACCTCCTGAGCGCTGGGATTAAAGGCGTGAGCCACCACTGCCTAAAATCTCTTTCTCAGTTGTCACTATTGACATTAAGGAGGTGTTACCCTGCTCTTTCTATCCTTATCATTCTGCTTGCTACATTTCCCTCTATGACATCCTCCAGAATCACTCTCCCAATACAAAACATAATTGATTTACTCTGTCTCTTCAGTTCCAAGTTCACACGGAAGATCCGATTTCTGGACAGCCTTGGGGAGCTGGCCCAACTCATCTCCCTAGATCAAGTCCACATACCTGAAGTTGTCAGACAGTGAGTCCTGCACTTAAGCATGCTGGTTTGGGATAGGATGTCTAAAGCCAATCCTGTTTCTTAACGTGGCTGGGGAGACACAAAGAACTAAGACACACAGGTCCTGCTTTTGGTTCTCTCAGTGGGAAAGCTGCATACACCTAAAGAAGAAACTAAAGACACTATTATATTTGTCAAGAACAGGTGAAGGGGGAGCCAATGAGCTGACTTAGTGGGAACGATACTGACTGACAAGTTTGACAACTTGAGTTGGACCCCCAGAACCTACATGGTGGAATAAATCCAGGGCATGCATGTGTGCACATTCATAAATAAATGTAAACAACATTTAAAAGAACAAATGAAAAAATTATGCGAGACCCTGAGGGAGACATCAGGAGCAAAGAGAGAATATCCAGTAGGGAGTATGTCAGCCAGCAGAGGATGGGAAGCCACTCAAGCACCCAATTTCTAGCTCCTCCAGTTCACTTGCTCCTTTCCCCCCAACTCTCTCTGTAGGCTGGACCAGGATCTCCATGGTTCAAGAGGCACCTAATAAGAAACCAGACAAAGGGCGGTAGACTTGGGCCAAGATGGTGGTGGCTCTGCATACTGGAGTTGTTACCTAAATCATCTCATCCTGAACTCCAACCCCCCACTGCCTTCAAGCTGGAATTTGAGGATGGGAACCCACATGTGGATGTCTTCACTTCGGCTGTCCAGCAGGAAGACCGGGTGTGGCATTGGAAGTGCAGAACTCTGGGTTTTAATTCTCCTTTATCTATAAAATATGTGGATCTCACTTTCCTTCTCTGTAATCTAAGGATTCTTCTCTGGGATCCTTCCCATCTTGGTTGTCTTAGCAGTCTTTTGAGGGGAGGTGGAGGGAAAGTTAGGGCTTAAAGAACAGCCAGCCTATCTGCTAGGAGCTCAGGAGTCAGCCTGCAAAATCTTGAAGAGCCAATTCCCTTAGTCTGCTGCCTGTGATCCTGGGGAAGGACTGCTGTCAAAACCTGTGTGTTTCACCCTTGTTAGTAAATTCAGACCTGTGTCCTTTAATAAACCGATGAGAGATTTAAGTCGAACAACTTTTCCCCCCAAGCCCTTACATCATAATTCACCTTTCGGTTCTGGCACAGAATTCTTGCTTACCGGGGTTCCTTGGGATTTTTAGCTCAGCCCCTGGGGCTGCTGGCCCTACGTGGGAAGAGCACTTAGGGGAGGGGCGAGGCACGCGCCTTGGAGCACCCTCCCCGTCGGTTCAAACGACCTCGAGACCTGGCGGGTTGGTGGAGAGCAGAAGGGAGGGAGGGAAGGTAGGAGCCTGGGCCTACCTCGACCCCAAGCCTCCCAGCTCCATGGTCCCCGCCGCCTGCATGCTGCTCTGGGCCCTGCTGCTTAGTCTGGGGTCCCGGGCGGCGGGGGCCCAAGGCCAGACGTCAAACCCGACGGCCACTCCGACTAGGGTTCAGCGGATCAGCCTCCGCTTTGGGGGCCCAGCCCGCAGCCTCAGCACAGGCATGACCAGCCGGAACAGTGTACCCCGGAAGTTGAAGGTAACTTTGGAGGATGAGAATGATGCCCTAGCAACTGCTGACCGCCTGGCTGCCCCGGCAGCCGCTGAGCTCCTGTCCACTGCGACAGGCATTAGCCGGTCGTCATTGATCAGCTCCAATGAGTATGAGGATGGCTCCTTGGAAGAGGGGGCCGTGCTTGATGTCAAAAAAACCACCATCTTACCTGGAACTACGTATTCGACCACCACTTCTATAGGAAGCGTTAGCACCACCGGTAGGTTTTTAGCCAATGACCAGGAGCGAGAGATTAGGATGACCTCCGATTTGACATCCCTCACTACAAAGCCTTCTACTGTGGCAGACCTGACTTCCGAGAGCACCCTGCACTCGTGGTCGTCGACACCTGGGTCCACCCCGACCCCGTGGCGATCACTCTCATTCTCATCCTCACTGTCACCGTCACCCTCACCCACAGCCATGCCATCTCCCGAGGATCTACGGGTGGTGCTGATGCCTTGGGGCCCATGGCACTGCCACTGTAAGTCGGGTACCATGAGCAGGAGCCGCGCTGGAAAGCTGCATGGCCTCTCTGGGCGCCTGCGAGTTGGGGCACTAAGCGAACTCCGCACAGAGCACCGGCCTTGCACCTACCAGCAGTGCCCTTGCAACAAGCTCCGGGAGGAGTGCCCTCTGGACTCGAGTCTGTGCTCTGACAATGGCTGCAGCTCTCACACCACCTCCATCAGGACCATCTCTCCTCAGGCCCCTATCCACCTGAGACGCAGACCCATCCTCCCATCCACTAGCCCGAGCCCTAACCCAGCTCTTGCCTTTTGGAAACGTGTCAGGATCGGCCTAGAGGATATATGGAATAGCCTTTCTTCAGTGTTCACAGAGATGCAACCAGTAAGTTGTTTTGCTTATGAGTCGGGACTTCCCTTGATGAATCTGAAAAGTCCTGATTTCACAAATCCTGTTGCTAACATAGCCATACTTGTGGGAGCTGTTAGTGACTTAGCTGTTCAGTTACGGAGTCATAACTTGAGCTGGTTATCCTTGGCCCATTTGGTGTTTTGTTTGGTGTTTGGGGTGCACAGGCTCATGCCACTGGGGCCTGAGTCCCTACCTCACACATGGTAGGCAGCAGGCAGTGTTCTGTTATTGAACTGTACCTCCATCTCCTGCTTGCTTTTCCCCAACCCCTGTCTGACCGTTTTGTTTTGTTGTTGTTTTGTGACCAGGTCCCCACTATCTTCTCTACACTGGCCTTTGACTCCTGGGCTGAGGTGATTCTCACAGCACCTCAAACTTCAGTATAGTGGGAGGCTCAGCTAACTCAAGAGATCCACCTGCCTCTGGCCTTCTGAGTGCAGGGATTAAAGGTGTGATATCATGCCCAGCAAGAGTTTCTTGGGGTTTTTTGTTGTTGTTTTTGTTTGTTTGAGACAGGGTCTCTCTATGTATCCCTGGCTGTCCTGAAACTCACTATGTAGACCAGGCTGGCCTTGAACTCAGTCAGACCCTCCTGCCTCTGCTGAAATTAAAGGTGTGTGCCCTGGATTTATTTATTTTTCATATTTGTGTGCATGTCTGCTGTGTGTGTCACTTAGCACTTGAGGTCACAGGATAACTTGTGGGAACTAGTTCTCTCATTCCACCATGTGCTTTTCAGGGATCAAATTCAGGTTGTCTAGCTTGGAGTGATCACACCAGCCCAAAAGACAGTCTCTTATAGCCCAGGATGTCCTTGAACTCACTGTGTAGCTAAGGATTTGACCACTTCTATAGTGCAGGGATAACAGGCCTGTAGTACCTTGTCTAATTATGTTTTGAACATATACTAGCCTTTTAGCCATGTCTTACTGGTCATCAGATTATTACTGACCAAATAAAGACTTCTTTACCTTTTGTCTTTTTGAGAGTCTTAGCTGACCTCCCCAGTTTTCCCAACATGCTTGGCTATAAAGACAATTCATAGACAAAGGACATGGGACATATTAACTGATTAATGATTTATAGAGTTTAAAAAATCATTGTGTAAGGGTATTTTGCCTGCATATATGTCTGTTTACCATACCTTCTTGATGCCCATGGAAACCAAAAAAGGGATGATTCCCTGGAACTGTTGTTACAGATGGTTGTGAGCTGCCAGGTGGGTGCTGGGAATTGAACTCTGATCCTCTGGAAGAGCAGCCAGTGCCCTTAACTGCTAAGCCATCTCTCCAACTCTGATGAACACAGTTTTGACTTAATGCATTGTAATAGTAACAGCCAATATCTAAGGTCTCACTCCAGATATGGCCCTTGGGACTGCCCTCAGCTTATAGGGTCGAATCCTGTTTACCGATAAAGAGGCAGGGTTACAAGCTAGAAGGGCTGAGGTAATACATGCAAAGATGATAGGTTCAGGCCCATCACTGAAGAAAGAAAATAGTGACAGAGGTACAGAACAGAAACTTTTCTACCAGTACTCATGTTTCCAAAGGACTGTCCCTTTTGGGACTCTACCCAGCAACCTAAAATTACACAAAGAAGCCGGGTGTGGTGGTGTCACCCTTAATTCCAGTGCTTGGGAGGCAGAGGCAGGCAGATCTCTGAGTTCAAGGCCAGCCTGGTCTACATAGTTCCAGGACAGCCAGAGCTACACAGTGAGACACTGACTCAAACAACAAAGTTACTAAGGGTTCAGACTGACTCTGGTCTCTTTTACTAAGGATGACTGGCAGGGGGAAAAGACAATCAACACAGGACATACTTGGCGATTTAGTTGGTATCTATTTTTGCTTTCCTCCTGGTGAGTCCAACTCTATTTTTAATATAAAAACAAAGCACTTGCAGGGCATTGGTGACTCACGCCTTTAATCCCAGCACTTGGGAGGCAGAGGCAGGCGGATCTCTATGAGTTTGAGGCCAGCCTGGTCTCCAAATCAAGTACCAGGACAGGCTCCAAAGCAATACAGAGAAACTCTGTCTCAAAATACCAAAAACCAAAAACCAAAAAAAAAAAAAAAAACAAAAAAACAAAAAAAACAAAGCACTCAGGGCCTGGAGCTGTAGCTGGGGTTAGTAGATTGCTTGCCTAGTATTGAAGAGGTGCTGAGCTTGATTTCCAGCACCGCAGATCGGGCATGTGATAGACACTTATAATCATGGGTTGGTAGGTGGAGGCAAGAGAGCAGAAGTTCCTGTCAGTGGACTGGAAATATGGCTCAGTGCTTAAGAGCATTTACTGATCTTCCAATGGACACTGGTTAAATTTCCAGCACACCTATCAGGCGCTCACAACCATCCATATAACTCCTGCTTGAGGGCGACTCAACACCCTGAACTCTGCAAGCACCTGCATTCACACGTACGTGCACTTGGACACACACACAACTAAGAATAAGTTGAAAAAGAAAAAACAAAAAAAAAAACCCAAATCCAAAAAACAAGTTCCAGGTCAGGCCAGGAACATGACTCATCGAGTCAAAGTGCTGACTCAGCAAGTGCTTACTGCATATGCCTAATGACCTGAGTTCAATCCCCAGAAGCCATGTGAAAATCCAGACGTGGAGACACATATCTGCAATCCCAGGACTTATATGGTGATGGGAGGTGATAGACAGGATTGGCCTGAAGCTCAGAGCAGAAATGAGATACTGCCTGAAAAAAAAAAAAAAGGGAGAAAAATTCCTAAAAAACTGACCCCTGAATCCACGTCATGTCCCTATTCCTACAATTTTGTTTTTCTTTTTTTGAGACAGGGTGTATATATATATATATATATATATATATATATATATATATATAGAGA